ACAAAAAACCACCAGAATCCCCAAAAAACCACCTGCGTGTTTAACAGTGCGCGCCGCCCCGCGCCGCCCCGCGCCGCCCCGCGCCGCCCCGTGCCCCGCGATGCGCGCTGGCCAGCGAGGCGGCACGAGCCTGTCTGGCTGGACTCATCCCTACACTGTCGAAAACAAAATCAGACTGGCAGAAGGCATAAGATCTAATAGTTATAGGAAATAAAAGGTTGCATAAACACGTTGAGCCCCAGGGAGGGTCGCAAACATTGCTTATTTTGGCCATACGTGTGGCCAAGCGGGACTCAACGTGCCAAGTCGGCTTCAATGGCCTTCACAAACTTCGAATAATGGAGAAGCAACATGAATACTACCCAAAACACTTGAATGAACTGTAGGTCGTATCATTTTGATATTGTTTATATGTTAAACGTTTGGGTTGTTAAAAGCAACTGGTTCCTGCCTGTTGGTTTTCACCTTGTTCTTCACTTCGCTAATTCTGGGGTCTGTTTGTGCTACAAAGCGCCTGAAAGTAGGCAATACGTATGTAGCCTAGGATTGATTTGCAGTTGCCCGAAAAGCAGCCTGCTCGTTATATTTGAAGCTGGGCCAAAAAAAGTGTCCATTTCATTCGGCACGTACCCATTCCATTACACTATTTACTTGCTTTCTCCCCTCCTATGGTTTCACTCACTCACATACTCCCTAGCGGGTGCCTCGCCCTCTCTATATCTGTCTCTCTCTCTCTCCCTCCCCATCAGGACAGTTCGATGGCAGTCTATCCGTCCGTCCGTCCATGATGACGCCCTTTCCGTTGCCGCGGTCGCGATGCAAGCACCGGAAATGAAGTGACGTTTGTCCGGCAGTGATCGCCCTGAAAAACAATACCGGGCCGCGGCCGGGGGCGCGTGCGTGCGATGCGCGAGGCAATTCTGTAATGGAAAGCACACACAGACACACACATACGCACCCACACACCAACGACAGACACACATCATCATGCACCCGCACGAAAATTGGCCGGTCTGCACCGGGCGCGGACCGGGCGCCCGCTCCTGCACCCCGCGATCTATACCACACGACCACCACCACACCGCCGTGCCGGTCACGGTCCAACGGGGTGCGGGGCGGGTGGAGCGCTCGTGCCGGCAGCGCGCCGCGCCAGGATCGATATTAGTAACGGCTGTGCTGTGCTGTATGACCCGCTGTGACATCAGTGCAGTGACGTCCGCCGGTACAGGCCAGTAGGGCCCGCGTGCCTGGAGCAGGTGAAGTAGTGAAGTGGCGGGTGCCGGCAGCGCGCCGCCTGGATCGATATAAGTAACGGCTGTGCTGTGCTGTATGACCCGCAGTGACCTCAGTGTCCGCCGTTTCAGGCCGGTGGGGGTAGGGCCCGCGCGCCTGGAGCGGGTGAAGTAGTGAAGTGGCGGGTGCGGCCGTCGGCCCGCCCGCCGCGGTCACAAGTGGTCACTTGGAAGTTTATTTCGCGCCAACGCCATATCGGCGGAGGCTGTCGCCGGCGAGCAGCGCGGCCAGCTGGCCCTGGGCAGCAGAGAGGAGAGAGAGACCTCCTCCGTTTGAAAAGTCGTTGGAAGCGCGGCGGCGCGAACTCGACTCTGCGCGCGCCGCACTCATCCCCGCGTAAACAATAAAAGTCGAACTCATAAACGCGCCCGCGCCATTGTTCACCCGCTATACTGTACCCGACACTCTCAGTGCAGATCCTAATGAAAATATTTTTATATGCGGATGCAGTGTCGCGGAAGATGTGTGTTGCCGGTGCGCGCTTGGAGCGGTAAGGGGTTGCCGCCGCCGCCGAGGAAACAATGTGCGCTCTCATCGCCCTCCCCGCCGCGCCAGGCCCGTCGTGCGCCCGGATGCCTACCTCCTACCTGTCGCCGGAATGCTGCTTGCGCGGGGCGGCGGCGGCGGGGTGGTGAGTCGCAACAACTAACAGCTGCCGCGGCTCTAAACAGCAGCGCGAGCACGGTTTTAACGTCGTTGTTTTAGAATGGTGTTTACAATGATACGTATGAAGAGACGGGCGAAAGTCTCGCGGTGCGACGACTCCGTCGTGACGACGACGACGACGACAAGGTGTGAGGGTCGACGGCGACGATGCGGTTGTCGGTGGTGGTCGCTGTGTGTTTGTCCACCTCGCGCGGGGCTGTCGAGCCGTTCCCGCCGCCCGCAATAGCTTTTCTTGGTTTCGCACCTGAGTCTTAGGAGGTGGCCCGGGCGTGGCCTGGCGTGGAGGCCCTTTATTGACGGGGACTATTGTGGGTGGATGCTGCCGGGGGCTGCCTTCCTTGGACCGGTTGGTGCCTCTCTGTCTGCCAGCTCTGCTGACCTCCACTCCCTTCTTCTTCTCCCCTCTCCTCCTTCATCTCGCACCTTACCGTTTCTTCGACATTCTTCTTGTCGTCGACTCCTCCTCCTCCTCCTCGTCGTTCTCCTTCATCCTTTGCCTCTCCTCCTCTGAGGTGAGGACGAACTGTCAGGTTTCACAATCGCCCTGGTATTTCTCTCTTTCTTCGCGCGCTACGCGCTGGTCAGCAGCCCGCGGCCACGACGACGCTCCGCTTTCTCGAAGAAGACAGACCCAAAAAAATATATGGAGTGACAATAAGACGCGACCCAGGGACTTATAATAATAGAAAATGAGGTGAGGTGTTTGGTGAAGTTCGCGGAAACGTAGCAGCAGCAGCAGCAGCAGAGGCAGAGGAATCAGCGTGAACATGACAGCAAGAGATGCTTATATTGGCCAGTCGTCTCAGCGGGGGAGCCTTATGTGACAATGAGGCTAATGTTCTCGATGAGGCTGCGCAGCGCTCGCAGCGCCACCCTGGTCCACATGAGAGTCCGGCGTCACAACACGTCCGACAGACTATTTTCCGCGAACTGCTGCCTCTTTCTGTATCTTATCGATAGAGGAAGCCCAGAGCGAGGTGAAGTGCAGTAGCGAGCCGAAACCTTTACCAAAACCTGTCTGCGCCTCGCCTGCAGTCGGCCACAAACATGTCACTCGCCACGACGAGGGGTGTGGTCCCGGGACTCGAGTCCGGGCCCGGGGCTCCGTGTCCTGCGGCGACGGGGCGTTGTCTCTAGACGTAATAGTCTTGGCGCCACCACCCACCGGGTCGCCCACACGGTGGGGCGGTGGGGCGCCCCCGACCCGACTGCCTCGCCACACCCCGCCGCCCGCCGCCCCGCCCCGTAACAGTGTCGTAGAAGAAGTCGCAAGTGAGTAGAGTAGCTTTCTGTGTCTCTCATTTGCTCCATTCAAAGTCTAGACGGCGCATATACTGTAGTACAGTAGTGTCCTTAGCAGTTGACTCGACTTGACAAACCGCAAGGCGTCTCTCTACTTTACTTACTTACTTGAAATTTGTTTCGACTTCATAAGAACTGAAATAAAAAGGGGACAGCGACAGCAGGGCAGAGATATGTCAACGCCCCAAACACAAAATCACATTAAAAAAAAATCTGTGCTTCCCTAGGGGCTCTCGGCCCTTCGTGCGTTGATGTCCCCTCTGGTCCCCGCCCGGCAGGTAGGCAGCCCATCGTACGCGCCAGCCGGCGGGGCTGCGGCCGGTGGGGCGAGCCGGGCGGGGGGCGGGGTGGGCCGGCGCGGGGCGCAAGGCACTGATTGCAGACATCTACCCCTTCCCCACCACCGGCGCTTCAACCCTCCCCTGTCACCATACCATCCCTCTTCGTGCCTCTTGCCCTCAGCTCAAAAAATTACAGGCTGTGTAAAAACTTTCAAAACATCAACTTTTGAATTCTACATGTAGAATTAGTTTCGGAATCAGTTCGTTCCGGTATGTTCAAATTCAACCTCTGGGTATCAAAAACCTTCCCCTGGCAGTGTCATATATATACGAACCCGGGCGCGGCGAGGGGAGCGGGCGGGTGGGGAGAGGTGCGGTAGCGCTGCGGCTGCCGACGAAGTTCGCCGCGCGGCCGCTAGAGCGCGCCACCCGTGCTGCGCCGCACCGCCGCTCAGTTTGTAACCGTCGTTTTTCAAATTCGTCGGCCGCCGCCTCAGCTCAGCGGCCGGTCTCAGACACGACTCTGGGACAACGCACAGAAACAAACACTAGAAACTAGAACCCGGCTGTCTTGCGACGTAGGGCTGGATCCCGATCGATTCCATAGCGCCCGACAAGTTCAAACTTGTCCCGACAAGTTCAAACTTGTCCAACATTTGAAAACCCTCAGCCGTTGGGTGCGTGTCGCAGAGCCGTTGGCCGTTGAGCGCATCTAGTCTCGTTCACCACGACCTATCGTCGGCCGCGTGCTTCCAGAGGCGGGAAAACTGAATAAAAATTCGCGACAGGCACATGTGTAAACTCGTGCAAACATTGTCCAGTCGCGAGTCGGGCGCAGGGCTTGTCGTCTACTCTCTATCTCTCTCTTACTCGCAGATCGGTACCTCCTATCAATATGCGCTTATTTGTTTTTAGTCCACACAAACCCGCTCAGTACTAAGGGCTCTAAACAGAACCGCTCATCTCCGCGGGTCCTACACAGAACCGCTCATCTTTCTGAAATACGGGCGGGTGATTCCCAGATTTCTATGGATGTTTCTAGGTCCTGAGCTTCAATTTAGAAACAAAAAATGTAACATTCTCTCTTGTCCGTACTGGAACATCACATTTAAACTACTTTAGCCCCTAAAAGCCTCCGATATTGGGTGATATTATAGTAAATACGCGGGGCAACATAACCTAACCAGCGCCCCGGCCGCGAGCAGATGAGCGGTTCTGTGTAAGGCCCGCGCAGGTAAGCGGTTCTGTGTAGAACCCGAGGTGATGAGCGATTACGTTTAACCTAAAGAATTATAAGCGCATATTGATAGGAGGTACCGAGATGAGAATAGATCAGAAAGCCCACCGCACCGCACCGCACGCCACGGGGGAGAGGAGGGGAGGGGGAGCGGTGCTTGGCTTGCCGGCCGGCCGGGCGCGGGGTGGGGGAGAGAGGCGCGGCGCAGCCGAGCCAAGCCGCTCGGAGCCGAGCAAGCGAGCGAGCAGCAGCGCCGCGCCACGCCAGTCGTAGAGCGGAGTCCGCGGGGAGAGGACGTGTGTCGTTGTTCGGGTCCCCCTCGCCGGTCCGGCTCGCTCAGAGTGAGGTCGTGTGTGAGTGCCAGTGACGACAGTGTGTGACAGTGTTTAGTGCTTCCACGCCGCACTTGGATTACGTGCAATGAGTGCTCGTGTGGTGAATCCCTTCACCATCACGGAAATGCGCCGGCTCAGGGAGGCGGTCGCCAGGCCCACGGCGTTCCGCCCCGAGCCCGAGTCTCGCGCGCGGGTGTGCCGCAACCTGTGGGGAAAGGCGAGCGCCGAGGACAGCCGGGCCTTCGCCGCCAAGGAGTTGACGGAGCAGCGCGAGCGCGCCGCCAAACGCTGGGGCTTCGACTTCTTCCGGGAAGAGCCGCGCACCCACGGACCGGGCGCCGAGCGGTTCAAGTGGACCCCCGTGCGCATCGGCACGGTCCCCTCAGCCTACAAGATGCCGCGCCTGCCGCGGCTGGCCAACCTGGACGCCGTCCTGGAGACCGCCAGGGCCACCGTGCCCAGCCTGGCCGTCCGCGAGCAGCAGCCCGAGGCCACCACCACGGCCGAGGCCGCCACGCCCCTGTCGGCCGAGTCCTCGCCCGTCAGCTCCACCCTGGACTTGGAGACGAGCCCGGACCTGACTAGTCCGCCGGCCTCGGCGTCCACCTCAACTACCTCAACACCTGCGCCCGTCCGGCAAACTACCATGAAAGGTGAGCTCAGCCCCGTGCTGCATTGTTGGCCCGCCCCGCCCCCGGCGACCCCCCGGCGCACCGCGGCCTCCGCGGCCCGACTTTCACCAGGGCCACCACCACCAGGGGACGCGCTGCCGGTTGAATACCTCTCTAGCACGGCCTGCGCGTCCGCCCACAACATAGTCCACTCGGTTCGGCCCCGTTTCGCGTCCCGAGATAAGGTTGTTGGTGGTTCCGCCCTCACAACACCCCGGCTTCAGTCAGCGCGTCGAGGAGAAGGGAGGGGAGGTGGGAGGACGAGCATCTGTGCTTGATCGATACTGTAGTGCTTCTCTCCGCGCTCGCTCGGCGGGGGCCGGCACTAAGCTCATTCGGCCCCGCCGTTTCGTTGTACGCTACGCCGAGATAGTGCAACCCGATTGTACTCTCGGCGCGGTAGTTTCTGGGTCCGTGTCCGCCGCCCCCGCCGCGCTTCTCTTTAAACTTATCTCCCTCTCGCTCGCCACGCCCGCCTGCCGGGCCGGATGCGAAGGGGCGAGACGGGGGCGATGAAGAAGCGGAGCAGGGCGAGCTGCATCCCACTCTGATTGTTTGGATATTCCGAGTTTTTAATGCGTGCCCCCTCTTCCCCTCTCTTCTTCCTTGTGAGTGCGTGTGTGTTGCATTTATTTTGGGTGTGCGGGGTGACGGTTGGGGACCGCGGCGCGTATGGAAGGGGAGGCGCGTGTCGGCCTGGCTGCTCGGGCCGGCGGCCGCCTCCTCGCCTGCCAGCCCCGGCCGTCCCGCCGCCGCGGCGCGCCGCCCTCCCCGCCGCCCCCGTGCACCACGCGCTGCGCTCCCTCCTCTGGATCGATATTGACGCGTGTGTGAGTCAGCGTGGGAGCCGTTGCCGCAGCCGCCGCCGGGTGGGAGGGCGTAGCCCAGACGTAGCCTCGCGCCGGGTGCCTCCGTCCCGCGCGCTAACTCGGCCGTACGCCGGGCGTATCTCTTGTACCGCCGGCTATCTTATCGTGAGAGAGAGACAGAATCATTGCGGCAGACGCTCTGCTCGCCGCGGCCTTACATGAGCGTGCGTACACTAGTCAACGCAGGTCGGTCTGCGCTTCGCACTGCTTGGCTAGAAACACTTCACGACGGCAGAATATTCTTCCGGGGCTGCTGTGTGGCCCGGGGCCCCTCTGGCGGCTCGGAGCTTGGCTTTCGTAGCACCGGGTGTCGGTACCGGTTCTGGCTCCACTGGCCCCGGGGCCCCCTCCCTCTCCCCTTTCTCCGTTGGAGGGGGGCCCCATCTAGTTTGGCTAGCTTCGCGCAGGCCGCGCGGCCGGCCGGCCAGGGCCGCGGCGGCGGCTGCTGCTGCTTTCCCAACCGCCACTCGGTGTTCCGACGGCCTTTTGCCTCCCCGTGGTCCAAACGGGGGACCTAAAAACGACTTGGCAACGCCGCCCTGCGTCTAGGATTTGGACCGTTCCAGGGGCCTAACGCAACGGCTGCAGTGAGCGTGCAACGACAGACCACGCCTCGCTGCAAGTGGAATGACCTCGGATGCACTTATCGAGTTAAATCCCCGTCCTTCTCCCCGTCCCTCCTCCCACGTTCTCGTCCTCTCCTCTCCTCCTTTTGTGCTGTGCGGGCGACGCGGGCGGGGGAGGGGGCCGGGGCGGTGCAGTGCGCTGGGCCGCTGGGCGGCGTCCTCCGGTCTGTCCGCCTGTCCGCAGTGAGCTTGGCCGTCCGCCCGCTCTGCCGCCCGCCCGCCAGCCTGACAGCAGCGAGAAGCCTGGCTTCGCTCTAGTTTTTGAGCTTGACGTTTTGAAAACACGCGGCGCACAGGGCGGCTCGTCCTCGACTCTTTTTGTTGTGAGAACCTTGACCGCTGTATCGTCCGCATGCGTGCTGCTGGCGCGCGTGTGCTCTCCTCGTTCGCCTTCTTTTTCCCTCTCTCGTCCTTTTTATTCGTCTTTTTCGTCTCACATCCCGCCCCTTCTCCCCGCTGCCCGAGCTCTAACGACGGGGCGCCCACCGTACACGGGAGATATTCTCTCTCGCGGGAAAACCATTCCGAGGGCTATTACGGCGTGGGCGTCAGCGCGGGGGATGACGAGACGAGACTCGTAGCATCGCTGTTGACACGTCGGGTCGACGTCCTGCTCGACGATGCCTGAAAATTGGGCTTTACGTCGTTCGTTCTCCTCGGCTGGTCGTCTTGATGGTCGCGCTCGTATACGAGGGGATGGGGGAGGGTAGGGGGGGGGGGCGATTTGATGCAAGCGCGCACAGCCGGTCGTCCGTTTGTTTCCCGTCGTCCTTTTAAACATGGCGGCGGCGGGGGTGAGCAGAGGGGTGGTGCGAGGGTGAGGGTCGGTCGGTTCAGCGATCGCTATGGCAAGGCAAGTGCGCCGCCGGCGGCGGCGGGGAGGGCATGAGGGAGGCTGGCACACCCCGCCGGCTTACCACCCCTCCACCCCTCCCTCCCCCAGGATTATTACCATACTGCCGGCTCGTCGACCTTCGTGTGAACCGTTTGTTCGTTCCGTTCGAATAGCGCACCTGGCTTCGCTTCCATGGACCAGATCACCGGGGGTGTTGAAAAAATAATGGCTAGAGGAAATAATTAACTGTGCGAAACGGGGATGCTGCTGGGCTGGTCCTCCCTTGCCGTTAATCTCGCGCGCTCTCTCTCACTCTCGCTCGCAACCCCGACTTTGTCTCCGCGGGTCGTGTCGTCAGCGTGGTGGTGGTGGTGCGTTCGTGCTGACGACACCGTTCTCTCTACTTCCGTGCGAAGGGAGGGGGTTTGCGCGGACGTCCTCATGACGTAACGGGCGGTCGCGGCAAGGTCGCCGGAAACGAAAGCACTTGAAGCTGCCCCCCCCATCCCCAC